TAACCCTAATCACTTCCATACCCGTGTGAGCATTTTTTAGGAGTTCCTTCAGCGATGCCAAAGCTCGACTTAACTCAGTAAAATTAATCATACGATTTATTTCTTCAGCATCTCGAATGACATCGCTGTAGGAATTCATAAAATTGTCGGCGTTAAACATACCTTCCTCTCGGTCTGTTTTCGCGTAGTTTGATCTAGGTGGTTGGGTGCTACGTTGTTGTGTAACCGTTGCTGCCTCTTGTTCTTTTCTTCTGTTTCTTTCTTCCCAGGCGTTGACTGTCGGTGGTGGTGCTGAACGGTATGTCTGTTTTTGGGGCCCTGATGTTGCAGATTTTCTGTGTTCTAAGCTTTGTAGTTTTTCCTTATATACCGGACATTCCGGGTTGGCTGCTGTATGATCTCCATTGCAGTTTGCACATTTAGCTGGTTGGTCTAGGGGTTTTGTACAGTTGTAGCTATAGTGGTTTTCGGCACATTTCACACATTTTGGGGCTCTTCTACAGTTGTTGGTTGTATGTCCCCAAACTTGACATCTTCGACATTGTATGATTATTCTATCGTTTTTGCGACGTTCCCAGTATACTCTAGTGTATTCGATAACGCTTGCTTTTTCGTTTAGTACTTTTAGCAAGACGTTTTTATTTGTGGTAACCATAAATAGCGGGTAGTTTTCGTTCTTCGTTTTCATTTTATAGACTTCGTTGATTGGTATTTTTAATTCATCTTTTAAGGTTGCTTTGATATTTTCCGTGATAGTATCTTTGTGGAGTCCGCGTAGTACAAAGGCGTGTGAGGCGTTGTCTCTTGGTGTATATGTGTGAAATTCTATTCCTGAATTATCATTCTCTAAGTATTTCTTCAGATTGTCATAGTCTTGGATATTGTTGGTTTGAATGACTGTAGTATTTATATTATACTTCAATGAAAATTCTGCTTTGATGTGTTCTTTGAACTTCTGGATACATGTTTTGTGATCATTGATTGTTCCTTGGAGTACAATTGGGGGAGGTTTTCTCTTTTTCGAGGTTTTGATGTTCTCAAAATTTTTCTTAAACGTACTTTTTGATTTTCGTTTTATTTCGGTTTCGGTGTCTGTTTCCGAATCTGTCGAAGATAGATTTTCGTCATTATTTAGTCTACTAAATTTGTTTGCCGTGGCTGTTTCTGGCGTTCGTTTTCTTTTATTTATTAATGCAGACAGTGGTACTGTGATTTTTGGACTCACAAATAGATCAGAGCTTACTGAAGCAGTGTCCATTTCTCTCGTGGTAGTCTCTTCGTGTTTCCCCTTGGTTATTTGGGAGGTGGATGTTTTTGGCTCAGTATCGGAGATGCCATGCAATTTTTCTAGGTGCTGCTCGATTTCTTTGAGGGTTACACTAATTGCCTCAGTATCAACCTTTTTTGACGTGGCGTTCTTTGTGATTGTCAGTACACTTCTAGCGCAATGTTGACAATTGCGGGTTTTGATGTTGGTTTGCAAGAGTTTTACAAGCTTATTTGCCCTTTTCACTATTTTGCTGGTTGTGTCCTGGGTTGGTGCCGAAGATCCCTTGGTGTTAATATTATGGTCGAGGGTCATCCCCCCGATCCAGGAAACATTTGAGTTAGATTCAGATGAATCTATTTTGAATTGTTATAAAAACAAATGCAGTAAAAAATAAATCTTTGTTTATCTTCGCGCCGAGCTAGGTAGATAAATAAATCGGTGCAAAAAACACTCGCAAGTGGCCCTGAACACTGCGTCCGCACGCACGGTACCGCAGCTAATAGGCGACTGCCAGCGAAGTACTTTCGCTCCGAGCTATCGTGCCGTTAACAGATTAAATAAAAGAATATATGGACTTCATTACATCTGGTTATCCTCTACAACCATATTTATTAACTCCTTTTAGAAACCCGGAAACTGACCAAGAAACAAGGTATAACAACACTCTATCTTCAGCAAGAAACCTCATAGAGAGGTGTATTGGACTGCTAAAAATAAAATTAAGTGTATTTTAAAAGAGAGATCTGCACGTTACGCTCCAGAATTTGTGTGCCAAATTATAAAAGCATGTGCTGTGTTACATAATATGTGTGTGGAAGAAAATTTAGTTGAATTCAATATTGATTTCAATGAAGAGATTGATAACAATCACCATAATTTGCCAATAGAGAGAAACATAAATATTGCTGAAGGAATTAGGAAGTTTTAAATAGATATTTTTAAATTTGAATGTTTTTTCAATAATTCTTTTTATGTTATGATTCATTTTTTCAGAAACATATCTTGTAATATTAACTTCAATTTATAATATTAAAAAATTATAGAGTAGCAAGAAAAAAAAAAGTTGTGAACTTATGAATGTTACAGGAATATCCTGCGTATAATATTTTACTTGGAATTTCTTTTTCATAGAAAATTTTCTCAGTGAACTGTTAAGAATTAAAAAATGAAATTTTATACAGGGTGATACTACTTTTTGATACAAGCTGCAACGCTGCATCGCTCAAAATATTTTAAATCGTTAGATCACAAGCAATTAGGTACCTATTTTACCAAACTTTCAAAATAATCCAATGTCACGTTTTCCATAAACGTAACATTGACCACCTACCATAGACAGTGAATCACCCTGTATATTATACATTCCTGTCTAAAAAATCTCCATACGCTTTGCATTTTTAGATCATTTTTAAGCATGACAAAAAATTATAGTGACCATTATTGTGTGAATGTACTAACATATTAAGGATTACATACTTTTCCGCTCTAATGCGGAAAAGTGCCCCTATTCTCACGCAAATAGAAAAATATTATTTTTAATAATAGTACTTACATTATTTAAAAAATAATGTTATATGCCTGACTTTATCATCAAAAAACATAAACATGTGTCGCGTTTCAAATAATTTGGTATTTTAAATTTTAAGTGGTAGGTACCACTGGCAACTCCGCGCCTCGATCAAACCGATCGACGTAGCGCACGACGAGTGACGAGAACTGGAACAGCGATTTGGACAAATCGCGCATACTCGTTTAAAGATAGCCAGCAGTAAGATTCTATTTTACGATCAACTCGTAACGACCGGATAAACTTGACAGTTTGCGATTTTATTTTCCATAGTATCGGAAGAATACGATTCGGATTATTCGATACCCATCAAGCAGTCGTATTTGTTGTCCGTCTTTGTTTTACTTTTAGTTATTATGAATTTCTATTTCACTATATTTCATTTGGTCATATTGTTATGGGTTTCCAAGTTGAGGTTAGAGTGTTAGAGATATTCACTACTATCTAGACATATTTATTGTTACAAAATATTTAATTTAGTGATGAATTAGTGAAATAAATGTGATAAAGAAGTAATTAAACTTGAAAATGTTACCTATTGTAAGGGAAATGCTTCATGTAATGGAAGCCGCTGAAAGAAACATGAATTTACGTCGGCGAAGACAAGAGCTTAGAAATCGAAGCGATCCATTTAGACTCCCAGATGCCCGATTTTTGGAATTGTTTAGATTAAATAACAGGTACCGAGACTACAGTACTACAGAATGTACGCAATTATAAATAAGTTGGAATAATTTTTATAGGTTAGCCAGAAATTTAATTCACATTTTGACTCCTCACTTACCAGAACGAAGATCGTTGAAAGGAATATCTATCCAAAATAAAATTTTTAGGGCTCTAAGATATTTTGCAACAGGATCCTATTAGCGATGTGTGGGTCAAGAATATTATAGTGGACTAAGTCAAACTGCAGTACACAGATGTGTTCATGAGGTCACTAAAGCACTTGCAAATATAGCAGATGACTACATTACATTGCCAGAAACACAAGATGAAAGAACTTTTATCAAACAAGAACTTATGCGTCGCTGGGGTTTTCCTGGGGTTATCATTGGCGGTTTCCATGTTGCTATATTAAAACCTACGGCAAATGAGCAGAATTATATCAATCGCAAGGGATACCATTCAAATAATTTGTAACCATCGCCTTAAAAGAAGAAGGATAGATAAGAGGATCTACTCACGACTCTTTTAATTGGCGTGTATCACAAGCACAAGAATACATAAACAACTGCTACCAGAATCGAGAAAGATGTTGGTTTATAGGAGATTCTGGTTATCCTCTACAACCATATTTATTAACTCCTTTTAGAAACCCGGAAACTGACCAAGAAACAAGGTATAACAACACCCTTTCTTCAGCAAGAAACCTCATAGAAAGGTGTATTGGACTGCTAAAAATGAGATTTATGTGTATTTTAAAAGAGAGATCTGCACGTTACGCTCCAGAATTTGTGTGCCAAATTATAAAAGAATGTGCTGTGTTGCATAATATGTGTGTGGAAGAAAAGTTGAATTCAATATTAATTTCAATGAAGAGATTGATAAAAATCACCATAATTTGCCAATAGAGAGAAACATAAATATTGCTGAAGGAATTAGGATTCGCAATGAAGTTTTAAATAGATATTTTTAAATTTGAATGTTTTTTCAATAATTCTATTTATGTTATGATCCATTTTTTTAGAAACACATCTTGTAATATTAACTTCCAATTTATAATATTGACAAAATTATAAAGTAGCGCATTACTTTCTTGAATAATTATTAGTTTAAGGATTTTCCTTTTAGATTTAATTAGGAATTTTATAATAAAACGAAAATATTTTTCTCCAGTTCCAATGTTTTAATATGGAATAAAGATGCTGTGATAGTTTATAGAAAGTCTATAGATTGTCAAAGATCAGAACATGTAAAACAGAAACAAAACTATTGTTTTTTCTTGCCTTTATCCTACAAATTAAATACCCATAACTAATCTAACAACATTGTCTAAAACCCTTTACAATAAAAAAATCTTCTGTCTTAAAATACCTACATTAAATTTTAATATATTAACACTAACCCATTCAGTAACACTTATTTTTTTTAACTAATAACAAAAGCAACCAACTATTGATATTAAAAATAGAAGGGATGTTAGAAGGGAATATAATGTATGCATTATTTTCCTTTCTGACGAATAGCTTCTGCAATTTCCCCCAACTTTTCGCATACATCAGAATTTAGCATATTAATTGATGCCTTAATTTCCTTTAAAATATTAATTGTTTCATTATAAGCTTGAGCGGTATCAGATATTTTTATTTTTTTTGTAGAGGTATATTCATAGTTGTCATCATGTTCAGCCCCAACTAGTTTACTCTTTCCTTTTATTCTTTCATGGGATGTGTTCGGGGAAGCTTCATATATCGTAGGTTCAGCTTTGGATGTTTCAAATTCACTAACTGAAATTTGTTCTAACACATTATGAGATATTTCTTTTCCATTTGGCATACCCAAAACCTAGAATTATTTTAAAATTTTAGAAAATAGAAACTAATAGAATACCAAGACAAATCTTAACTTTACTGATCACAAAAAGGGGAAATATAAATTGTAAATTGACTGCCTTCTTACCGATGTATTCAATGAATTCAGAGATGAATTCGGCATTCCTGCTTCTCTATTGCCTACTCCCATGTAAAATTCTTTTCCCCTAAAATACCAAGGGCTCTCAGCTCAGACCCATTGAATGGAGCGCATGTAGAAGTTCCACCTCCAGTTTTGTTTTGGTCTAACTTTAGTTGGCTTCCTTTTTTTTAATTTGGTATTTAAAATCAGACCATGTCTATGAAATTAAAATACCTAATGCAAATAAGAAATGTCATTTAATTATTTTAAAATCCAACACATGAGGAAATATATAGTAGAGCAATGAGTAAGTAAAAAACTTTACTTTTTGTCATTTATCAGGAGTTTTCTCTCCAAATCCCAAGGAATTTAACTTTTGGGAAAGTTCAGTCCACATTTTTCTCTGGAAATCTCTTCCTTGTGCGCCAATAGATCTTCCATTGCACTCTCTTATTTTGAATGACATAATCACAGTAACATCAATGATAATATAGGTACTGTATTATTATTTAATAATAATGAAAAAAATATAAAACGGCGGAAAAGGAACAATAAACGTATTCACCCTTGGTATTCACCGGCATTCACTCGTGGTTTCAATTTATTTGAAAAAAAAAGATCGTTTCTTCTTCTTAAGTCGTACTTTGAGGCAATGAACAAAAAATCCAGCTTTTTTCATCAAAACTATTTTCCAAAACCGAAATCGCTCGATCACAATTTGATCGAAAATTAGAACTGGTAAATACGTTATGATCGTATTTGTAATCGCGTTCGTTATCGAATTGCTCGATACTTTCGTTCCGTAAAACAGAATCCGGCTGCTGTTCTCAGAAGAATCCCTAACTAGTCAGCGCGTTTCTTATTGGTTGAAATGTGTAGAAACCAGACTAACAATCAGGTTTCTACGCATTTTAATCAACAAAAAACGTGCTGACTAGTCAGGGATTCTTCTGAGAACAGAGCTAATAACGGACAATGGACTAGCAACTAGCAAAATGAAATAATCTCCTGCCGAGTGCTGCCTGCGATGATATGAACCGTGAACAACAAAATAAAGAATGCTGAATGAAAACAACTTTTTATTTAAAAAACCTCTTTCTAACATTCCTCGAGTACTTCGTAAATCCTCAGTTAAAAGAGTATGAGTAAAATACAAAGATAGGGCATCCCAAGAATGTAAAATTCTGTTTACAGCAGCCTGTAATAATAAATTATATAATTATAGTCAACATTAGGAAATAATATGAAATATGTACCTCCAAAGAGAGCCACCTGGTTTGAGATGGTCGGAGTAACTTCAGTGGTTTAATTTGTATAAATTCCTCATATTCCTTGAATTCATCCATTCATTTAGGACTATGGGCAAAGTGGTTATAAACTGCACGTGTAAATTTCTCAATAGACTTCGGAAGTTTTTCCGCAGATGCAGAAGCACAAAGGTGCATGGAATGACACCTTTGTGCATCCCATTATAAATAAATTTGGGTTTGTTTCCTTAAATCGAGCTTGAAGTCCCCCTTTGTTGCCCATCACAACGCTTGCATTATCTGCTCCGAAACCTACCATGTCAGAAATATCAATTTTTTTTTCTGTTATTAAATCTTTTACAAGATTATACAAACCATTACCCGACGCATCAATTACTTTCTTAACACTTAGAAATCTAAAAAGAAACATTAACAAAAGATTATTTCAAGTAAGTTACAAACATAAATTACCTACCTGTCACAAGTTTTACCATCAAAGAAAAACCTTATAAGTACAATAACACATTTTTCTGTTGATACATCAGTACTTTCATCAATTAACAATGAGAAATATTTACTAGTTGCTAAATTTTTAAGTAATGATTCAGATGCCTCACTAGCTAGTTGATTTTTGGATATTTCAGTTGCTTTGGTTCGCCCACATTTAATTTCTTTGGCAATATGTGAATCAGGACAAACTGACTTAATTAAATGTGGCAGGTGATCCATTAGTACAAATGGTAATTTATGTTCATACAGAAACATTAACATTTTGAGTTCTCCACTTTTTTCTTTCTTATGTAAACTTATCTGCTCGGCATTAACATATTTATTGATTTTCATTTTTGAATTTAAATAAATTTTCAATTTACTTAAATGACGTTTGCTATTGTGATGTCTTTTTAAATGGTTATAATTGCAGTTGAGTTTTATATTGCAAGCTCTACAAAAGGGCTCATTTTCCCGTTCTTCAATCCAGTCAAAGTCCAGAAGCCACTGTTTTCGGAAGTTCTGTTTATATATTTTTTTCTTTTTTTTGTTTAGACTCTCTCACTACTTCATTGGTAGTGTCTGATTGGTAACTGTCACTAGCATTTAAGTCACTCTCATTAGATTCATCTTCTGATGCAATATGTTGTCTCTTAGAAGTTGGTAAACAAATACCTGAAGCTTTCGAAAAATCTTTATTTTCTTCTTCAAGGCTACAATATGGAGATAGTTATTAACTTTATATTAATTTACATATCAATAAAAAATCGTACCTTGTGTGTAATGTGAGTTTGAAAAAAGAAAAATTGTATAGCAATCCTCGTAAAACAGAAAAACCTTTAATATTCCATGCAGGTTGGATGGACACTTTTAAAATCGTATTTCAGTATTTTCATCTTATAAGAAGAATTGTAACAAGATAAAAAATAAAAATTTCCCAAGTTTTTCTGTTGATAAATTTGTAATTTGTAAAAATGTCTAAATAAATGTCTAAAATTATCAACACAAAACTCACGATTGTCAATAATATAAAAACACACAAAGCTCACAAGCACACAAACTATAATTGTCAATAAATATTAAAACGCACAAAACTCAAAAACATTCAAACTATAACAGCAAATCAGCGAACTTTCCGAAATGAATAATTATTAAATTAAGATTCAAAATTATTCAATACCACCATTTTCTCAACGAAACAATTGCCGGCTCTATTATACAGTAGAAATCTGTAATTTTATCGCTTTGCGTCAACTCAACCAGACGGCTTTCAAATACAAATTAGAAACCTGTAAGTTTAAAATAAGTTTAACATCTGCCGCCATCTACTGATCCGGAAGAAACTAACTTTTTAGCAGATTATGGTTCCAAAAAAATTATACGTAGTGTCTAGGGCCTGGGTCATATTCAGAATTTTCTAATGTAGAAGCACTACTACTACTTTACCGCTACTTTACGACAAGTCGTATTTATATACTCTGCGCTGTGCTCGTCGTTTTGTGGAAAAACCCAAGGTCACCTGATGATGGGGTAGAG